AATTTTCGATGTAATGTTTACGAAGTAATAAGCAATGCGGTCACGTGATAGGTGTCACGTGATAGTGGTCACGTGACGTGTAGCCAAAGTACTATCTATCCTTCTCGCACAATGTTGCTTTCCTTGTCTCTGACTTCGCATACCTCCTTGCACATCCTGCTATGCTAGTAACAAGTTGAAGCTTCCAGGATCCAAACGCGAGATGGCGTTGATCTAAAAATTTATCAATTACTAACTTATCGACAAAATATTCTTTGTCAATAGTTTACCTATAGTTTTATAGGAGAAAAGAAAGAATCGCAGCAGCAATTTTATTATACACAGAAATACTTGTTTAAGAAATGTCGTAAAAGGAACCTATGTATATATTTACGTTTCAAGTTTCAATTATGATCTCAAAATTTACGATCATCCAATATCATACATTTTTCATTTATATTACGATGATTACCATGCAATTAAAAAATAATGCTTTTCGCGTGTATCGACGAATAATGTTTCATAGCTATGTCTGGGTCACTGTGCTCGGCAAATAACCGGTGGACTTTACGCGTGATACACCCGTTGGAAAGAAAAAGGGCTTTTTCTCTATATGTAGCCGCGTGTTCGGTTAGATATACGAGGCACGCGTCTCCTGCATCCATTTCCATGTTATTGTGAATACCCTGCTCGTGTCTGCCTCCATTTTTCTTCCCACCCTCTATCGCGTTCTCAGGGTTGGCCGAACCGTTCGAACGAAAATATTAGCCCAACGGTTTAATCCATTCGCGGATTTACACGGATTCCTCCCACCACCTTTTTCATCTGCTCGTGCTATTTATAAAAACGTGGCGGTGATATTTATGCGTTTTAAGGACTCGGTAGAAGGCGTGTTTGAAAGAAACGGAATCTAGGTTAACGCGTTTCGTGATTTATGCTTTGTCCGCCCGTACCATCGGTCAGTGTTCACATTTCCAAAGCTTGTCTCTCGGATTTGTAGCTGACATTGTGCTGATCGACGCTCGAGAAAAATCGTTCTCAAAGGTTACATTGTTCGATTTGAATCGGGGAAGGGAGGAGAAACGAAGATCGGAGTGTGTTAATTTTAAACGATCAGGAGAACATCGTGCGAAAACACGATCATTTTCCTTCTCGCTTACTCTACCCGCGTAATAATAATTTACACGAAAGACCACGAAAGAGCTCTCTAATGGAAACTAGAGCTCGAAAGGTGGTCTCACAGAAACTTTCACGCTCGATTGTACGCGTTCATTTTGGAATACCAGCGAATAACCGCTACGTGACGATTCCCTTCGAAGTTGGTAAAAAATTCGCCGTTCGCAAGCCGCGCGATATTCCCGGGATACTCTGTACCATGCGGGGAATACCGAAGTGATCGGTGCACGAGCGTCGAATTCTTGGTAGCCGGGGGAATATCGAGAAACGAGGCTCTCTACGCTTTTGCTGCCCGGTTTTCAGCCTCTGCGAGTACTTGGAGGCGCTCGTAAATTGGCGAGAGAAAGAGGAGAGAAAAGAGACGAGGAGGAGAAGGCGGAGAAGGAGGAGAAGACGACGAATAAGAAGAGGCTCGTTCGTTCGGTCAGCGAGAGAGGATCGAAGGAAGGGTCGGGAGGAAAGAGACGGAGACAGTGGAAGAGAGAGAGACAGAGTGAGTAGGAGTAGGGACGGGGGAGAGGGATGGGGCAGAGGTTGGGCTACGACCATCGATTTCTCGACCGGTGTTACGTTCCTTCGACCGGGAAAAACTTGCTATTCCACGATCCTCGATGAGGAAATTCTTGCTTCGAATGCTTCTTATTAAGATACACTCGTCACGATGATGTTGTACTTCTGTTAGCGTTCTGTTTGAGAAGGAAGTCGACTTGATTTCTAATTTGCAGGAAATGTACGGGATGATGCTCGCATTTTACGTCCACGCGTAGAGTCGATTCGTTCCTTCGACGCGATTGATTCCAATTAAACGTTTTCTAACGAAAAAGTATAGCGAGGAATGTAGTACGTGTGTATAAGTATCGATACCTGATTCGTGCGTGCATTTCGATCGAATGTTCCAATAATATATTACATTATCTCTTTCGAGTTTTTCTTTTAAATTATCGTTCGTTTTCATTTTGATACACGGAAAAAAATCTTATGTCACTTATATAGTACTTACATCACGAAAAACTGGATAGATAGGTATGTAATGTATTACAGAGGATAAAACACGTAGGGTGAAAACTGTTTTGCGTGGCGTTGGGAATTGGGTTAATCAATCGAACGAATGTTCCGTAACCGGAACGATTCAAGTGCTCTGTCTTAGTTTGTCGATGTCGGGGGTTCATCGATCGCCGATGACACGGTTGCACGTCGATTTTGGACTCGTCAAGGGGTAGAGAGAGAGAGAGAGAGAGAGAGGAGGAGGAGGAGGAGGAGGAAGAGGAGAAGGAGAGGGAGGAGAAAGCGCTCCATCGATCCCCGGAACGCAGAAAGCGCGCTGGTCCAAGACAATTTCCGGCGATCGAGGGCTTCCACGCGGCTTCGTCCTTCGATTAGGAATAAAAGGCTTCCCGGCATCGCGGTGATGTTTTTAAAATCGTGGCAAAAAATTCTCTCGAATTCTTCTCTATCTCTCTTATTTTCGAATTTAATATCACTTCTCTTTCTCTCTCTGTCTCTTTCTTTCCTCTCTCTCTCTCTCCAGTTCTGAAGCAATATGTCTGTTTTTTTTTCCTTCCAATCGACGGGAATTTTTTTATCGTCGAAAAAGAAAAAATATGAACGAAATATACTTACGCGCGAAAATATCGATTTAAAGCAATTACTCGGGTAGAAAGTTGTGCGTTGGATAATAATATTGGGTAATATGTGTTAAATAATATACAAACAAAATTATTGAAATTTATTCAATCTTTTATATTCAATTATTCAAATAGCTATTAACTTCTGCACGAGGTAAATGATCAACAATGTGATTAACACGTTGCTAAATATATTTATTATTATCTTACGTTCAATATTTTTTTTTTTTATTTTTTTTAATTCCTTATTAATTTTAAAATTTCATTGCCACGTTAAATATTTAATTTCGATAAATATTTAAAAACTCTACGTATATTTAAATATAAATATAAACGTAGGTATTATTTTTCGTCAAGTTTCAAGATAAACATTCCGCCCGATATTTCCCGATAAATTTGTCGGCAAATACCTCTGTATATCTCTGTATAACATTAGCCGTCTCGTCGCGCGATTCATATTTGAACAGATTAGAAAATTGATTTGAATAACAAATTGCCATCCGAACCACCATTGTTATTCGTACGATTACATTAATTACAATTACTCCTCCTCGCGATGATACGATACGAATACGAATTATACGAGATGTCTCGCCTCGACGAAAACTTTTTTCGAACGTTACATCGCGTTTAAATTTGTATCGAATAATTGGGGAGGGGGGAAATTGATAAAAAAAAATAATCTCGAATTATCGAATTCGGCGATTGCGTCACTCATCCCATGGTCGAGATCGTGGAGAAGCGAGAGTGCGAATAATGTTGTACACGTTTACTCTCGGGGCGCGATACACGTCAACTATACGTAAGGCAACAGTGTATGATAATAACGGTGCCAGTGGCTGGTGCGGTGTCTAGCCTAGCACCAGCCTAACCTGACTCAACGTTGTAACCATGTATATTTATACAACAGCTGGGCGGCGAGGGAGGGGAGTGTGCCAGTCAGCTGATTGAAGCGCTGGAGGGGAAACGGTGGAGGGGAGAACGACCTTTATTTAAAGCGCTCGAGAGGAAGCCTTTCTTCGACTGGTAAACAGTCATCGAATGAACATGCGAGACACACATATACATACGTGGCCGCGTATGCGCGTGACTGAAATAATATCGTTGGATTTTTACCTTCCCTCCCCCTCCACATTTCCTCCTACTGGCAGTTAGTGGGAAGGAGAGAAGGGGAGGAGATGAGGAAGAA